TGAGTATTTAGTACGAGTCAGCCTTGTACGCGGTACGTACCCTTGAAATTTAGTGTCAATTGATCGTTACTCAAAGGTTCAAAGACGGACTGTCTATGACATCGCCAGAAAGAAGCTGCGAAATTTTAGTCCGTAAAAGTTAGTGCGTGATGATGTGCGTCGTAAATATCTCATGCTGTGCTTCGTTGCCTGCGTCAGATTTTGTCTTGTACAATGGAGTGGTGTGGTAAGATCGTTGCGAGGTGGTCAGAGCAGATGAAGTGAGCAGGTTGTTAGCTCCGAGACGTGTGAAGATGGTACGTTTTACAATGCTCTTAGGTAAGTTTAGGACAGACTAGATAGAGTATAGAAGGAGGGTCGCGGTCCTTAAAAATTACGTTTTAATTAAGTTGACGCAAAAAGAGGTGTACTACGACTGCTGTGGTGACACCACCCCGAATTAGATGTGGCGCTGCCGCGGGGTTGCTCAGCCGGATGTCCGGTGCACTCCATGACTTCTAGGAGTCGCACCCCCAAGTGCCCACTTGTTGGACCCGTGACTTGGGGTTTTTGGTGTTTCTCTAGTAGCATCTGAAGTCCTCCGTTATGATGGAGCTGAGTAAATGTAATTCGCCGCTCACACACGCTCTCCAGGTGTGGAAGTTCAAGGGGCCGTTAGGAGCAGTGGTTGTTCGAAAGACCTTCCTGTTTGTGGTGTCGACACTAGTTCTTGCGACAGCTAGTTCCTTTCCGGTTTGCCGCAGACGAGAAGGACTTCCCACGAGTCCTTCCTTGTTGAACCCGTGATTCGAAGCGGACCACTGGGAACATATGGCGAGATGGTAGCTCTCGGATAACAATGCTGGGACCAGCAATTACACAGTAACCACACATCTCTACAAAGGGGAGGAGGGACACACACACGCACCACGCACAAGCACACGCACACGCACACACTCGTTCGTCCACCACCGGGCCAAATCGACTAAATCGATGGAAATTGAAATTGGACAAGAACAACCTGTGCGGAATTAGGATACACTTTCACACTTTGGGAAAAAGAAAACCAACCAAGAGCAAAAGAGGACAAAATTGCAGTCAATCCATCTCAGGGGACATACAAATAAAAGAATAAACAAGATACGTTCTACAAAAGACAAGTCTCTACAAAACAAAAACACCCAACAAGACGTTGAATAAACAATGTTTCTTGTTTGCAACCATTAAGTTAAATGGTTTTGCCGTAAGAGACAGAATAACAGGAATACAAAGAACCCTCACCCTTTCTCTCCTTCTTCTCACGTGTAAAATACGACGGCGGATCCAAGAGCGATTCTACGAACCGTATCGTATTAACCCCCGAGCAGGCAGGCCGAGGAAAGACAAGAAAAAGTAGCACAACCCATTCGTACCGCGATAAACGAGAAGAGTTACGTAAGGACTCAGAGACACCAACTGTCAAAAGGAAAAAACCTTAATGTTACCTCTCAGTTAACCTTCACAAATGATGTCTGGCGGAAAGTACGCTCTTCTGAACTACTGACGTGTCATCGTCTAAATCACAATTACCGTGTCAAAATACTGGACAAACACGGATGTTTTGTGTTTTTTTTGTTCTCAATTTTCTGGAGAACACACGTCTTGAGTCAGCTCTTCCCAACATAAACTCCTTTTTGTACTTTTACCTACCCAGAGCGTCCAAACAAGGCGGGGTGAGGTTCGGGGACGGAAGGGTTCGACCCTTACAGACATCTCCTCGATGTCGCGACTGAGACGCGTAGTCCCTCCATCTCGATTCTGTGTTCCTCAAACCTCACCTTCGGTACGTGGTTATTCCCATTTTCAAGACCTCTATCTCGGCCCCTCCAGCGAGATGGTAGGT